TATCGGAAAAATGTTCAAAACGTCAGCGGATGCTTCCGTTACCCCACACGCAGACGGTAACTTTTAAGACGGTAATTTGCTTTACAGTCATTTCAATAACTTTGAAAAAATAACGACTACAAATCCACTAGTACCTTTTTTATGCTCAAGTTATGTGCTCTAATATGAGCGAAGCTTAAGATACATCCGTATGTGATAGTTGTGGAGATCGTAAACTTTTATCAACTTTGTTACAGCCCGAAGGACATAAAATAGTATGCTTCAAGTTATAATTTAACGGGAGCGACGAGGGTTTCAAAGCTTCCTGTTACTATCGCATGATCGTATGTCGCTACACCTTCGCAAATATCACTTAGATTGTTGCACTTGGACAATAATAAATAATTCAAGTAAATGTCTGACGAACATGAGACTGACATACGTCTCGTTCATATTTGACATGTTCCCTTTGGAAGTCTTAATCGCATTGCCTAGTATGTAGACGCAGCTGCACTTACGACATAAACAAATTCAGACTAGGTAGAAGGAGCTAGTCAACGATTTCTTTGTCTCATTATTCTCGTAGTCTGTAGTGAGGATCAAAGTGCACTTGACATGTCATTTTTTTACAGTTCTGTCATCAAATTCGTATATTCAGTATTATTTTTTTTAAAGTGCGAGAGCTTGCAGATCATTTGTGAGACGATTTGAAGGCATGCTTCTTCTTGCATAATTTGCAAAGATTGCCACAGCTCTATTGAAGGTAGATGATTCCACGAGTAAGTATTATTATCATGTTGATATAACGCTGGCACTTTGGTAGACATTGGTAGATAAATGAGTCAAATGTGTTCACTAAGGCCCGTATCGTCAGTCGTCCCTACAATTGTAGGGCGCGTTTATGGCCTCCTTGATTGTCATACTCCTTTCTCTCCTTCAAAAATTTCTAGATAACACTTGTCCCGTGTCAGCGTCAGCGCTCTCCTATTGTGAAGATATGTTTTCTTTTTAAATTGTAGGAAATTTCAGGCTGATAAAACATGATATAACTCAAATGCAAGCACAATTTGACGCAAATAGATGTTTGTGACATTACCTCAAAATAGAGTTCTGACACGGAGAAGTAGAAAACTATGACAATCAAGGAGGCCATAAAGGCGCCCTACAATTGTAGGGACGACTGACGATACGCCTTAGACCACAGCTTAGATAACAATCAGCTATGAAACTCTCCTGCCGGTGTCAGACCACAGCTTAGATAACAATCAGCTATGAAACTCTCCTGCCGGTGTCAGAAACGGTCACCATTTCGGAGGATAAAGTCGCATGTAGATTCCCCTAGTACAATGATGAAAGAGGTTTTGGTGCTCAGCAGCCGTCGGTGTTGACACGTATACTGCAGATATTCTTTGCAATCGTAAAAATTATAACATTCGTATATGATCTAGTGTAGTTCGTGTGAATTAATAATAAAAAGGAACATGTTTGCCCAAAAGTGACTTACAAGCTATCAAAGCTCTGTCTTCTTCAGTACAAAATATCTTGTAGCCCCATCAGTAGCAGTACAATCCCTATATATATAGCACACTATATCAAAGTCCTTTTGAAGGGACATTTCAAAATATACTAAAATAGATTTGAAAACTATATAAGTTTGTGTTATAAACATGAATCACTCTCTGGAGAGCGGCATATTTTCCTAGTAATGAACGCACAGCTGCCCACAATTTTTATGACTAACTTGAAATATCGGAACTATGGACCGATTAAACATTAAAGTCTCGCCTGTGTATAGAAGCATTCTAGTTGAGAAGTCGTCGTCTGAAGTGTTGGTTGTGACTTCGCTAGTGGTTTACTCTCATTTTTCCGAGATAAAATTTCTTGTGATTGTTCTTGTGGGTGTTTTTGGTTCTATTTACATTGTAAATGCAATGGATTAATGATATCGTAGCAACGTGGAATACAAAAGTAAATATTTTTCGTTTATTGCAAATGCTCCCACCATTACAAATTTATTTTGAAAAGTTTTCATAAATACTCCATCTGATGAACATCTTTCATAAAGTTAGGTGTGCAACGCTCCCTTAAGGACAAAATACACGAATAACCAATAAGTAGATTATCAAGTGTTGCCCTATAATCGATAAATTTAATGGACTGTCCCCAGCAGTTACATATTTTCAACATTAACGTGATTGGCTGTTAGAAATATTACTTAGGGCTAGGCAATGCAATCCATCGGTCATTCATTTCCGTTAAAACCATTTTTCCAACACTTTTACAACGCATAAAATGGGAAAGCTTCCGAATGGCTGCATGCCATATAAAATGCCGAACTAATTAAACTTTGCTAATTGACTGGCTTACAAAATTGCGTTAAGTGAGAATGTTCTCATCGTAAACTAAAAAAGGGTGTCAGGCAGGCTGACTCTTCACTTCTCAAAAAGTTACGAACCTTTATATCAGAAAGGCTAAATGGATTAAGTCAGTCAAACAGGCTCATACAATTGATACATAGACATTCTTTACCTGCCCTACCGGTGGCTAATGTCCATCTGGCAACGTTGTCCCTTCCCTGCGCTGCAGCAACTTACCCTTCATTTCGTGCACGGTCCAGGTATATGTTTTTTAGGCTGGAGTATGGATAGACTAGTCAGCCGGACCGGTTCACTGGGCGGTGAGCATAGATAGCAGCAGTACGCGAGTCGAAAACATTTGTCTATCATTTAGTAGTACTATGAAATGTACGGGGATATCTATGATCTGTGAAAATGGCTAATAGGCGCATAGAATTACAGGGGTTGGGAGCGAATGAATATACTAAGATCAAAAAATGTCCATATACCTTGCCCCATCCTCTACAACCCCCACCCCAAATTTCAACCCCTACAATAAAATTTCCTGGAAATGATCAGGACCCCCACTCAAGTTATAGACGGGTCAGACAGACCGACAGACCGATGGAAATGAGTGACAGTTTTTCATGACGTACATGTCATATAACATCCAAATAAGACAATATCTCATCTTAGGATTTTTTCGCAGTTACAATGGTTCCTCGACCAGTGGCGTAGGAAGTAAAAATTGGAGTATGTATCCTGTAATAGGAGAAGAAAAATCGTACTCAGGGCTTTGGTTACATTGGTTAGAAGAAGAAGATGGTGAAGTCGTTGGTGGATGACAATAAAAATGTAAAAAACGCTACTATTGCACGTAAAATAACTGTCCCTTTCAAAGATCATATATTTATCTGAAAACATAACAGTTGGTATATGACACATAAGTAAAGAAAGGCTCCTCAGAATAGTAGTAGTATAGGACCCTGCATAATACATCAGAAATAAACATTATACAATGTGTTTTTAGTATAGATATATAGATATACGGTTTCTTTTTATGCCGAAACGTGTTATTTTACGCTTATCGGTTCATGCTTTATTCATTCATTTTGTTTTTATATTAACCTTTTTTTTGTGAATAAAGCCTATTGAATTGAATTGAACCTATTTAGGAACCGGAGCCGGGATTTATGGGACAAGGCCAAACACTGAGGTCGCTGTAAGTCTAGTTAATAGCAACAATATTCCAGGCTAAAGTAACGGCCACACATGACTGCGCGAAAGAGCTAGCAGGAGTGAGTCTGCAAATCAGTTGATTGTCATCTGCTCAGTCAGCCTAGGTAGCCATAAATTCACTGAGATCATGGCAAACATCGTCTAAACTAGTAGAGGATTGCTTGAACACTCTCAAAGAGCTGAACAACCGAAACAAGGTAATGTTGCTCTGGGTACAAGGAAATGAAGGACACAAAGGAAGTGAAGAGACGAATGAGCTAGCCCGACAGGGTGCGGCCACTCAATCGCCTTATTCGTCCATAGCATTAGTCCATGAAGAAATGAACCAAGAAAAATCCCTATAATGATAGAACAGCCAATTAAGGCAGGCAAAAGAGTTCATCAAAGCACGAAGATCCGCATAAGGGCCATAGTGGTTTCCTGACAAGACACGTTCATTTAAACCAACATATGAGGTTCTCGGGTCTGGCAGAAGAAGCCACATGCCGTTTTTGCAGAAAGCATGATGAAACCCCAGTGAATCTTTTGTGTTACAGCAAAGGCGTGGCAAGGGGGCGGTTTCAGATAGTAGGAATCCCAAATGCAATAGCGGAAGGCCACATACAAGGCCCTGCGTTAAGGCTATGGATTCTGATTAAAGGAAAAAGACTGGATACAACGCTTTAGAAAGTGTATGCGGGGGTCACAATAGATCCATTTGGGTAGCAGTAACGTTTTAAGGCTAGCAAGCCAACTCCTTTTCTTTTGTAAGTCTGTAATCTGCAATCACGCTTTTATCTTGTTATGAGATTTTCTGAGTAAAAACCTCACGGCTTCCAACAAGCACTCTATAAATTTTTTGAAACTAAACGTAATTGAGTCCGTCACATATGTACGCTTTATTTGTTTCACCCTAAACCTTCTCCAGGTGAGCATTAGTCTCAATCGTACCGCCTGCGGGTCAAAGGTGGCTATGCCCCAGCACGGAAATCAATCAACCTGGAGGGCGGCACTGCTGGCATAAGCCGCCGCCGTCGAGCCGCTTCATGGCCGCCCTAGAATTTCTAAATACGAGCTAATTATCGACTAACAGCCTGACGGATAGACGGATAGATATCTGGGGAGTTTTAAATTGAAACCCGATGTGTGCTACATATGTATATTTACCGCTCACGATCTGGATTTTTACTTTGCAGATCAGATGCTTCGGCTCAGTGGGTATGTGTGAGCAGCTCACGAGCTTTAATATTTTATTTATCTGTATGAATCGGTCATCTAACCATCAATACATTGTGTGGCAGTGAAGATTGGGTATTAAACCAGGAAAAACATAAAAGCATTAGAATGCTTGGAAAAGAAAATGTTACGAGCAGTATATGGGGATGTAAAACATGGGATGGTACGAGGGATGTCTTTTAAGTTTTGCATATGGACATAAATCAACACGTTAGGTAGTTTTAAATGATTTTATTGTTTTTCGAGGTATTCTCCACCAAGATTACTACACGTCTGCATGCGCTCGAACCAATTTTCGAAAAACTTATTCCACTCTTTTGCTGGCAAATCCAAAACGGCATTTTTGAATGCGTCAACTGCTTCTTCTGGTGACTGGAACCTTTGACCACGCAGTCTGTTTTTAATTTTCGGGAAAGTAAAGAAATCGTTTGGACTTAGATCGGGACTATATGGAGGATGGTCCAATAATTCCACGTTTTCTTCCGTTAAATACTGCCTTGTTTCTTGGGCTGCGTGCGAGCTTGCATTGTCTTGGTGGAGGATGATTCTTCTTTCGGGGTTCGATCCGCGCGGCTTACTATGTTTCTATATGCAAAACTTAAAAGACATTCCTCCTACATGGAGGAGACGAGCTACCTAAACAGTGATTGAGATATGTACAACTAACCCAGCATCGTACAAAAAAACCCTGCTCGAAGAGCATGCTGGTTAGGACACGTTTATAGAGAAAAGTGATGCTTCGAGGGGAGGGTAGTAGAACGAAAAGAAGACGAAATCAAAGAGAGCGAAGACGAAATAGATTGAAAAGTGTCACAGAGGTTGTACGAAGAACGGAAGTATCAGAGTGGGGAAACAGACTGAAAACAGAAAAGCGTGGAGAGAAGTCGGCAAAAAGAGCTGTGGGCCTTCAGGCTTCAGGTGATGAATTATGTAAGCGTTAGCTAATGACAAAGGACGATCGAGTTAATCAGTTACTGGTCTTGATCTGAACCGTAGTTTCGAGTTCAGGCTACTCGTACTGATGTGATGAAACCACATATTAAAGCACCAAACATTTTTGGTCTACTAGGCCGTTGTCTTCTACTTCGCCAACATGAGCGCCTGGTATCTCCAGAATCAGGAATGCAGAGCTTCTCAAGCGTCTAAGCTAGAGCACAACGGCCTATTAGCCCAACAACATTTGGTACCTCAAATGATGATCGTGAAACCTCTACACAATTCAGAAAGAGGCAATAGATCTTGTCGTTGACTAAGACCAGGAAGTTGACCTTGAAGTTCACCTCAAGGTTAAAAAATGATAACCGCTGTAACACTGCGTACAGCTGCGCACTCTCAATATTTCATAATATTTAGCATCGCTAAGATGATTTCCCAAAACAGTAATATTCAGTTATTTGTGATGGTATTACTGGTATCATAAAAACGTTAAACTAATTACATGACCATTTTTCACGAGAATCTAGACAGCAGACTTTTGGCATACTCACTAAACGTTACCGCGAATCGAAATTCGAGAGCCCAACATGAGTAATGCTGCAGTCACTGCAGCTTAGGGAACACAATGGAGTACTTGGAATACAAAAAATATTGTGTGAAATCGTTATAAAAATATTAACGCTCCCAGAGCTCTTAAAGATAATCTGGCATGAAATTATGGGTTCGCTTCAACCCTTTGTCGATTTGGACTCTTGTAGGATTATGAAGTAGGTTTTACGCCATTAATCTAGAGACGGTAAATAAAGTCGCACATAACATGGAATAAACGCAATCAAGGTTGCACTGCGACAATTTGAATAGGAGAAGCTAAAAAGGCATCTCCAGCTATTGCAGGGCACTTCTGTCGCTTGCTATCAACAAGTTCTGATTCCTGCTATTGTGTTGAAGAAATGTGCAGCGGAGCTTGCTTCGGTGCTTTCGCATCGCTTCCAGATTTCTCACGAATCGGGTACTTTCCCGGAGCATTGGCAATATGTCCATGTCCAGCCTGTCCGAAAAACGAGGTTCAAGTCCGACAGACCCATAGCTTTGCTTTCTTTTATCAGCAACGTGATGGAAAAGTACATAAATGGAGCGCTTCTAGAGTATCTTGGGCATCACGCCTCGATAAGCGTCAGACAGTATGGTTTCCAAAACCAGCGATTAATGAGGGACCTCACACAATTATGGATTAAACTGATCCAGTCATGAGGTGAGACTCATGACGAGCTCTTGACATCACGAAAACATTTGATCAGCTGCACTCTTATACAAGCTTCCATCCTATGGCCTCCCAGATAAGCTTTGCAGACGGATGGCTAACTTCATCTTTAGCTGCAAGATGCCCGTGGTCATAGACAGTTATTCCTCTTCATCACACAATATTGAGCGGATTTTCCCCGGAGATCGGTTGTTTCTATTTATCAACGACCTCCTCTCTGTAAAAAAATGAACTTTATACATATAATTTTAAAGGTAGAGCAAATTGGGGCTTCAAAGGTTCTGTGCAGATATACTAAGTGACATATAAATCCGAACACCCAGTTTAAATGGTTTTATTTTAATAAAAGTTGGTGAATGTATTTATCTTACTGTAAATAACAAGTGAAAAAATTTTCAGCCTTATCAGTTGCACATTCCGGTTTTTATACTGCTTTTTTTTAATTCACTAACGCTCTAAAAATGAATATTTCAGCCGCAGTAAAGAATCAACGTTGGCGGATTTTGGTTCTTGACATCCTTTACGATCGGTTACGATGCCTAGAGTACGGAGACCTGTACGATTTCGTCAACTTAGTAAGTTTGATAGGGGCCGTATAGTGGGACTTCGGGAAGCTGGACTTTCTTTTCGGGCAATTGCAGTTAGAGGGCAAAGAAGTGTAGACACTGTGGTTAGGTGTTGTCAGGCATGGCTTCGAGAAGGCCGTACGCAAAGAGCAAGGGGCACTGGACGCCGCCGTAGCACAACAGACCGTGAAGATCGCCGCCTAAGATTATTGGCCTTAAGGGACCGTTTCTCCACTACCAGGTCCATTGCAAATGAATGGTTTGCAGAACACGGAAGAGCTATTGGCATGCGAAGTGTTTACCGACGAATGAGAAGTTTTGGCTTGTTTTCATACCGGCCACACTGGGTCCTCCCTTTAACTCGAGAACACCGACGTAATCGCCTTGAGTGGTGCAGACAACGGTCACCCTGGGATCGGGAATGGAACAGTATTGTCTTTAGTGATGAGTCTCGATTTTGTTTAGGCATGCACGATGGTCGCGCCAGGGTTAGAAGGCGACGTGGTGAAAGGAGGAATCCACAGTTTTTTGTTGAAAGACATGTTCATCACACTGTTGGAGTTATGGTTTGGGGTGCTATAGCTTATGGTTCCAGGTCACCTTTAATCTTCATCAGAGGTAACATGAACGCGCAGCGTTATATCCACGAAGTTCTAGAACCCCATCTTTTATCCTATCTTGACACCCTGGCAGATCCAACTTTCCAACAAGATAATGCCCGACCACATGTTGCAAGAGTCACAATAGACTTCTTTCAACATAATGATGTCACATTGTTACCATGGCCACCAAGATCTCCCGACTTATCCCCAATTGAGCACGTGTGGGATATGATGGGTAGGAGATTGCTCAATTTGCAACGTCCTCCTCAGACTCTAGAAGCACTTCGAGAGGAGTTGGTGGTTGCCTGGAATGAGATACCACAGGAGGACATTGACCACCTGATCAGAAGCATGCCTAGGCGCGTTGGAGAATGCGTAGCACATCAGGGTGCATCCACACATTATCAAAGGTCAAAGGGCTTTAAAGCAGTGCAATCATTTTGAAATTTTTATCATTTACTTATTATGCTCCATTAAGTACTTATACAAAATTTTATTAAAATAAAACCATTTAAACTGGGTGGTCGGATTTATATGTCACTTAGTATACTATACAGAAATCAGACATGGCCTACTTGATGGTGTAAATCCTCAAGCCAAGTATTGATAAGTTACCTCTTCCAGGAAACGAATTGACTTTATCACGAATACGGATATTGGAAAGATGATCTGAGTCACTAAAACGACTGCACCATGTAGGTATGTAATATCCAGTCGGAGCAGTGGCAGTGCCGGACAAATAATACCCGAGACGAAAATATGCCGATCACGAATCAGCCACTCACTGGACATAATTAATAACGCGACGAACGCATTCCCCTTGGTTTGCTCCTTCCCTTCCCCCTTTCTTCACCCCTTTGCTTCTGGGAAAAAAACAGACCGTGCCGACGCTGCCGCTCGAACTCACACAACAGAATCCCGAGTCATTCCGGCATTCCCAGACACCGTGTTATGTTATCGATTCGCTTATGCCAAATGCAACTGCAACTCACCGGGTTCTTAGGCGCAACATACAGTGTGTCCAGATGAAAGAAAGGAATTAAAATAGAACGATCCTTCAGTGAACACGACTCGATGATGGCTAAGTAAACCCACATAGGAGTCTCGTAGTTTCAAAGACTTCCAAGTCCATTTTTCAAACAAATGGAGATAGCGGTGCCATTTGATCCCAGAAGAGTAATAGAAAATATCTGGTTGATGACTGTTCCTATATAAATTTCTTCTTTTTTATGGTGCTTTCGATAATTGGTTATGAATGAAGGTTTACTTAAATTCTTAACGTTTAGGTTTGTTACACACTGTCCTTTCACAGTAAGTGTCGTAGATGTTTATGTGTTTAAGCTTTTAGCAAACTGTGGTGTTGTAGGATCATTCTTCTGATGATGGTTTATCGTCGAATCGTTAATAGTATCTACAAATGTAGGTCGAGTTTACTCCTTGATTTTCATAGTCTTTTCTGTCCTTCTGGCAACGCCAGCGCTCTACTTTGAGGTTATGTTACAAATATCCCTTTGTGAAAATCAAGGAGGCCATGAAGGCATACTACCATTATTGTAGGTACTACTGATGATACGGCCCTAAACCATCTTCATACATAAACATTTAAGGCGCTTACTGTGAAAGGACATACCACACAACATACACTGCCTGTATGATTGCTAAAAGCAGAATGATTGCTACCTCATGCAGATAGGGAAAAAAATAAATATAGTCAACAAGGCTGATTTGTAGTTATTGTTTATATCATTTCAACCAGAGCGTTTTATTGTGTGATTTTTTTCTATATGAACTTCTCATTTACTTTTTGTCTGAGATAGAAATCATTCTGCTTTTAACAGCCAGACAAGCAGTGCATATTGTGCGGTATCTACTTTTACACTGAGTGTTAGATGTTTATGTGTTTTAACTTCTAACCAGCTGTGAAATTATACGACCATTTTTTCTCAAGATGGTTTAGTGTGTAATGAGCCCAAGCATCAATAAGATTTCAAAGCATTATTCTAAGACATTTAGGCAGCGGTGGCCGCAGTAGTAGACTCTTCGGTCTCCTGATCAGTCGCCGTGCGCTGTGCGGGTTCGAATCCCGTCCCAGGAGAAACTTTTCTCGTGAATATGGATGTTGTGATTGTCCGTAGGTGGTAGACGGTCTCTGACTGTCGAACGCGGAGGAACCATCCGGCGGATCTCATAGGCAGAGCCAGAATGTGTGCATGTAGCATGCACACGTGTTCCCTCGCCAGAGTCCGTGTGGCGTTCCCCCTTTCCTCTGTATCCCCCTATAGCCCCACGGTACCCCACGGATTTTTAGGCCTTAACCCTTCGTGGTAGTTGGAGTATAAAAAAACAGATGTTAGATATTAACGCCTACCAACTTTCGTCATCCAGAAATTAGACGGAACTTAAAATTCGGAAAAAGCGTAGAACTTCAGAGTCATTTGATTTTGGTGTCATGTCATCCACTGAATAGGGGTAATTATTGAAGGATTTCAAAAAAGCAAAACGCAAGGCCTGTTTTAATTTTTCGTGACTAATTTGAGGTCTGAGAAACCTTTTTAGACTTATTCTTAAGCTCTAACTCTAATGCATAAAAACAGTTGTTGGAGTTAATATTTCTTTGTTTTTCGAAAAAAGTATTTAAATCAGATTTTCTCGCAAACAAAATCTCGTTATAATCTACCAGTGTTTGCATACAAGAACATCAATTCGCCCTTTCGTGGCCAGTAGCAAACTTTTGGAGGCAAATAAACATGCTTAAGTTACTTTTTGACCTTCCCCTAAGCACAAACGCACTGACAGTATCTGTCTTCCAGGTGACAGATCATCAGTTTCTTCTTCCTTCACTCGCTACTACTATACATATAACTGCAACATCCAAATTATTATTCACTATAATTCAACTCCACCCAGTGTCAGACTCTCCAGATTGCTTTGTTCACTTGTTACGGACCACAACGTATGGCACTCTGTGTTATGTCACAACGGTGAAGTTTTCAATTCGCGCTTTTCAGGTCACCTAGCTACTATCTACAGGTTGACGCAGTTAGCACTCACACATCATTGAAAACATTTAGTTACAGACCCATCACAGAGAAACGTCTCTTCGATCTACCATCAAATCTACTGTTTAGAATCTGAATTCGTGCTTATGATTAATGCTATC